CCGGAGGTCTTGGTACAACGTAAATCCGACCGTGAATCTGCATGAAATGTAAATAACACAAGATGTATCGTGGTTCACCCCAAGGTTTGGGCTACGTCCACACTGAATATATATTTATCTGAGGGAGAGAGAGAATGAGCTCTGTAATGTGAGAGCTTTGAGAGGATGAAGGAGCCTTAAGAAATGGCCTCTGAGGGTGAGAATGAGCCTCTCTAATTGTGAGGGTGAGGGGTCCTTTTATAGAATAAAGACTCCTCACTTATTACATATTTGCCCTTTCCTTTACCACATAATTACATTTAAGTCCCCCGAGTATTTGTACGAGATCTAAATACGAGGTCATAAATATGGTATAAACATGGTGAATGACCATGATCGATTGATCTCGAAGCACCGCACAAACATGATCCTTTAAATCATGTTCCCCAAAAAATGTCATGCATAAAAAGACATGTTGAAAGTATCTCACATCCAATATTAAAGTTTAACATACGTAGTTGAACAACTTTGAGTCTCTCCACATATTTTTGTGTTGGACGCTCTCACATTCTGACATGATCACAAACTTTTAGATTTAGTACAACTTCATTGTGTCTTTGCCCTAATAAGGTTGAACCTAGTTTGAGCGCTTGCAACGCAACAAATAATGCCTATACAAAACAACGTTATGGGGCTGAGTCCCACATGGACCCTACATCGCGTGACATATTATTGTTGCCTCATCAATCATCAATCTTATGTCAACCAATTAGGCAACATATTACACACCTTTGCTTTGCTTCTCTAAATTATTTTCAATTTGGAACTTGCTGAATTGGATTTCTATATCCCAATGGCAACCTTTTAGATCTGAACGTAACCTTCTGTCTATATCCCGAAAATATATTAAGTTTATTTTTCAATTGATGAGAGCAAGCTTGTTTTTTTGTGATCAAAAGGTCACAGATTCAAATCGTGTAAACAATATTTTTTACGAAAGAATGATAAGATTACGTATGATAGACGTTCCTCCATCTCCCACCCTCACAAAGCGGGAAGCATTGTTGCTTAAGGCCGCTCTTTTTTTTTATTAATCAACTAGATCCACCCCAAAAACCAGTTGCTTCCCATGTAATTTTTGCTCCTTTTCATATAGAGATTTCAGAATTTTGGGTTTCTATAATTTGCAAATATATGAGATGGAGACTAAGGATATAAGGAGTAGAGGAAAATCTATAAAGACTTTCAAAGAGACTATAAGAGAAGATATGAAGTACTTGAAGCGAACGGAAGACTTGGCACAAACTATGCACAATGACGTTCTAGGATTACCGACCCTACTTAATGGCATAAAGCTTGGTTGTTGTTATAATTTGCAGAATATACATTATAGTACTAGATAAATATTCAAATGGATTATTACTGATTGATTTCAGAAATGAAGCACAATTGCACCTTCCTGATGGAAAATCTAATCAGGTGGCTCCTGCCAAAATTTTATTTTCATCTATATATATTTTCATCATTCGTTCGTGAGTATACTTTTTTATCAACTCAGTTGCAGTAGACGTATTTAAACCGTATAAATATCGCTATTAAAACCTTTTAATTTGTAGTTATCATTTAACGGTCATGTCTGCAAAATATATCAATTACTAATCATTTAGTTCCAATATGTATCAAACAAACCGACGATTTTAGTTTTTTTTTTTTTTTTTTTTTTTTTTTGACTTTAAGTGCCATTTCCCTCACCCAACTCACTTTCACTCTGTTTTTCCCATCCCCAAAAGTAAAAGTTTCATTGGAAACCTCATAGAGGAGGCTTTGAGGGTCTTCTTTTCTAGCCTTTCGGTGCTTAAATTCAACCACTTTAATTTCCTTCTCTTTATCTTTCTCCTTTTGTTCTGATAACTTGGGGGAAAAGGCAATATAACGACCTCTGCAATCTGCAGAATTGTTCTGATATCCTCCAATGCATCTCTCAGAAATGCTCAAAGCAGAAACACAAATGGAAAAGCTAAAGCTGCTGCTGCTGCTTCTGGCTTCTGACTTCTGATTCCCATAATTCAAATTCCTGCCGACTTTTGGCTTCTTTTGACTCCGAATCTGCCGACATTCAATGCCACTCTGGGCTCTCTGCTGGATTTTAAAGCCTTGTTTCAGGCACTTCTCTTCGAATTCGAAACACTTTGTTAGTTGGTTTTGGAGCAACCATGGCCATTGAGGTCTGCTCGGAGATTTGGAGCCCCGGATTCAGTCCAAGAATTTCATTCTCCCATGATCTGGACAAGACGAATCATGCTCCGAAACAAGGGCAACGGTTAGACTCCTCTCTCTCGGATTCCACTGCCGATTTCGATTTCTGCATTGTAAACAATCTCAAGCTGGAGTTGTCTTCGGCGGACGAGCTTTTCTCCAATGGGAAGATTCTCCCCGTCCAAATCAAGAGAAATCTCGCCGCCGCCGAAGAAACTCACCAGCCTGAAGAGAAAACAGTTACTCGTCAGGCTGATGATGAGAGGGCAGCTCCTCCTACCCTTGCTCATCGCTCAACACCTATAAAAACAGAGAGGCTAAAATCAGATGAGAAGAAGAAGAGGTTGAAAGAATTTTTAGACGCCAATGCCGATGCAGATGAAACCGACAAGCCTCCAACAGCAAAGCCATTCTGGCAGTTCCGGCGGAGCAGCAGTCTCAACTGCGACGCTGCTCGCGGCAAGAGCCTAATCCGGCCGCTTCAGTTTCTTTCGAGAAGCAACTCAACAGGGTCGGCTCCAAAACCAAATCAAAAGCAAGCGTTGCCTCCAAAGGAAACAACAACAACAACTCATCAGAAGCAGCAGCAGCATTTGCAGAAACAGACATCGGTTTCGAGCCGAAGATCATCGTCTGCCTCGTGTTCGAGTACGTATTATCCTTACAACAACATGAACCAGAAGCCGGCGTTGAGAAAGAGTGGATCTCACGGCAATGGGGTCAGAATCAGCCCTGTTCTGAATCTCCCACCGCCTTACATTTCCAAAGTTACTGGGAGTTTTTTCGGGTTCGGTTCTCTCTTCTGTAACGGTAAATTTAGAAAGAAGAAGAAATGACCGAGTTAAATCTTCCAAGTACAGATGAAATTAGCTGTCTGCAATCTTGTATTATTAGGTACCATGTGATAATATTCATACTCTGTAAATTGAAGAATTTTTTACGGTGATGGGTAAATTTGATGGTTGGAAGGGTGAAAAGTAGAGTGGAGAAAGATGAACAAGGTATCTTTCTTTCACTGTCACATCCCTTTCTTTCTTTTCTGCTTTTTTATTCTTTTTCAAATTACCAAATAAGTAAATTTGACTCTCTTTTTCCTCTTTTGAAAATAGTTGTAGTAGTGAGTTAGGTAATTGAGTAGGGAAGGTGTCTGTCTCATTTCGTCGAAATTCAAATTCAAATTCCACGTGAATTAGAGTAATTTAGAATAAAATATCGTCTTGTCAAAATGGTTTGTTTCTCTGTGTAATGTATGAAGATTTGGGATGCCTCTCTTGTACTTTCCAAGCGATGGCTCGTTGTTCTTCCGGCAAATAGTAACTTCATTAACCAAAACAGCTACAGACAGTGGCAACAAGAAAAGGTCGCGGCAACAAGGAGAGAGGAAGTTCAAGCTCAAAAAATGGCAACTAGACACACATGGTATATTTTATCGTCAAAACAGGAATATGACTGTGTGACGGGCACACTCGAGCGCAACGTTCTGCTGCCATCATGGGCTGCAAAAGGCCCCTTAAATGTTGAGAGCAAGATTTACTGGACTGGAGGCACAAACTGGGTTGGGCCTCAACAGTTGAGCAACTGGAAATTTGAAACTGAGAACCCAAAGCCAACAACAGTACGCGAACGCGCAGTCACGGCAACGATAAGTTGCCTAGTCAAACAGCAGCCTTGGAGGTTTTCTGCCAAAAGAATAACAGGTCATCCAGTTCCGGGAACAAAACTCACGAGTCAAAGTGGAAGTCAAACAAACGAGTAGGCTATGGCTAGGGAAATCCCAGGACAGGAAAAAGTCAGACCAGGGAGCAAGAGAGAGACTTCTCTGCGCCCCAGATATCACCGTGAAGTCTCGAATCAATGTTACAATGCAACAATGAATGCTAAGATCATTGATCACGAGACGTTGATCAATGGTCACCAACGTACAGAACTTCCAACTGTTTAGGGTTTGATGGAAGTTTTCAGTTTTGAACAAGCCAAATTAAGTGCGAAGGATTGACTTTAAACAGTAGCATGCCTGCTTCCAATAGGCAATAAACAAAAGAAGAAAACAAACATTATCCATCTCACACCAGAAGGACAGGATGCAAAAGACAAACATTATATTCATAAAAAATTCATAAAATCTACATTATTCAGCAGATAAAATCTTGAACAATTGACTCCGCTAAACAATGACCAAGGAAGTGTTACTGTATTACAAATCATTGTTGCAGAAATTTGTAGTGTGAATGTGATGGCAATCAGCATTACTGCATCTGTACCAAAACGAAACAAAAAAAGAAATGAAAAGATTGCAGAATTATGAAGATTAATACTACTAGTTAAGTGAAACAACGATGTTTTGAATAGAGGTAGTTGAGCAGGACAGGGCAGAACTGTGAAGATTAACAGCAAAAACCAAAACACAGGCAAGAAGTAGGAGCAACCAAGTGTTGCTTCCGGTACAACCTACCGCCTTGAAGCTACGCTACTTCCATGAAACGGAGACCTCAAAACAAGTCATTAGACTTGCATTTAGGTCAGAAGTTCAATTACATTCGAAAGAACATGCTCGTTTAATATTTTACAATGTACAGAAAAGAAGGAAATATACAAGTCCATTTCCATACAAACAATTAATTCCCTAGCCACTCTTCTCTTTCATTCACTTGTTTCAAAGATGGTGTAAATGAAGAGAACAGTAAAAGATTCAAAATTGTCAAGTAGTATGTGGCCAAGCATGCACCCGAAAAGAAAACGAAAACAAAGATGAACAATGGGAACACTGAGATCAAATGCAACTGATATTATACTAGACAGTCACCGAAAAGGAAAAACCTAGCTCAGACCACAAATGTTATTTTCGATATAATAGAATCCGGCCAGATTTCCCTTATTTACATTTTATTCAGAAAAAGAAAGGAAGATGAATTATAATTAACAAACAAAATTAGTGTTCCAAAGCAACTGAACGTTCAGCAGTAACAGGGGATTTGATACGTTTCATCAAAACTCCAATGTGTATGTGTGTATGGGCATACCCTCTTTGCAAGCAGCAGCAGCAGCAGTCAGAAATAAACAAGAGCCTTGAAACTTTCCACATAAGCCCGCGTTTGCCCGGATCGCTACCTCTGCAAAAAAGAATGAGCAAACAGTTCAGCACTGAACAAAGTTGTGATTTGAAAATTTGGGAAAGAAAGAAAAGCGGGAACTTTGAATTCCGTAATCTTCATAACTCATGAAAGTTTGAAAACCCCAAGAAAATATCAGCTAAATTTGGGGATAATTGCATTATTTAGAGAGCCCAATTTCTTCAGTGACTCAGTGTTGATCAAATATTCAAATCAATGAAAAGTTTGAAGACGAAGACTTTTGAAGTTATGAGAGAGAAGTCAGAAGAAAGCAATCACCTTTGTATTTTCAGGGAACTCAGGAACCTTGTACGTCTCCGCCGAGACCTCCGTCAACCACGTACCGGGAAACAAACCCTGCAACAAGAACAACCGCCGTCAGTTAATTTGATAAACAAACAGAATGGCCGAGAGGGAAGAAGTCAAGAAACTAAGAGGAGGGTCACGATTTATGAATTTGGGAATTTGACGTACATCCAATTGCTTCTGAACATTTCTTGGCCGCCTCTTTGGGCGTCGGAGAGGGCGGTGGCCGAGCATCTTCATGAAATCTTCCTCGATCTCCTTCTTGGTGAGCGTCAACGAGAATTTGGGCCTCTCCTCCTCCTTATTCTTCTCTGGACCCGAAACCGAAGCCCCTCTCACCAGCCTCGGCGACTTCACGCCATTGTTACCCTCACTCCTCAACGGCGAGTAATTCGCCTTCTTTTCCTCGATTCTCACCACCTTAGCGCCGCCGCCGCCCATTGGAGCCTTGCAAGCCGCCCTCCTCGTCCTCAGATTCCACGGCCTCGCCTCCGGCGGCTCTGGCTCCGGCGCCACCGGAGGTTCCGATTCGCCAACCTCCGCCATCTCAACATCCTCCTCTGCCGCCGCCACGTCAGTATAAGCAGCCGCCCCCGCCACTGCCACCTCCTCCTCCCTCAAAATCGCGTCTTTCATCTTATCCGCCGCCGTCTTGAGATCAAACATGAGCTTCTGCCTAAACGCATCGATCCCTTCCTCCGCGTCGTCGTTTTCGATCCTCGGCCTCGGGGCCCGAAACTTCCGCTTCTCGAACTCCAAATCCCTCCGCCGAGTCACCGCCGGAGAGCTCTCCATCCTCTGAGCCGACGATCGCCGATTAGCCTCCGACCCTTCCCCACCACTCCCGCCGGCCTCGGAGCTCTCCTTCTGGCACCGCAGGTGCCTCTGGTTCCCCCACTTCAAATCCCACGGCAAGTTGAAATTGTGCAGAGCCTTCGTCCTCTCGGAACCCATCGCCATGGACTTCGCCGCCACTCTCTCTTCCTCCTCCGACCCGCCTATATACACCATTTATCGGAAACTCAGACCAAAGAGAGCCACTCTCAGATCACAGCTCTCCTTCTCTGTTTCTCGCGCCTCCTCTGATTTTCTCGGAAAATCTCGGGATTTTCTGGGAAAAAGGGAGAATTTTTCTATTGGGTTTGTTGTTACTGTTTTGGTTTTCTCTCGCAACTCGCCGGGAAACGTAAGTTTATATACGATGAGAGCGAATTGAGAGACTCCGAGAGAGGGCGTTTTAACGTTCGGGTTATATATACTCTGGATTTTTTTTTCTTTTTTCCTTTTCTTTTTGGTGACTGCTAATGTGCGCGCTTGGTGTGTTTTCCGCACCGCTGAGGTTTCCCGGGTGATGCGTCGTTTTTGAGTGCGCCTTTGCCCTCAACCACCCTCCGGTTTGAACTTTACCTCTTTGATCTCTTCTCCCAGCCGTTGATTTAAAATTATATTCATTTGATTTTCAAAAATGAAAATTATTTTCGCTTAATATTATTCCTCTTGATGGCAAAATTCATTTTTGTAAAGCATGCCTTTCTTTTCTTCACAAAAAATGGAACATGTGCAAATATAATTGCTTAGTGTACAAACCTTGACAATAATAATCGAATCTCGCAATTTTAAGCATTTATAGAAAGGAGTGGAAGAAGCGTAAACCAACGTGCGGATAAGAAAATCTTATCATGGTGAATTATTTACTGTGTTGCTATACATTGTTGGATACGATTGGGCCGCACTAGTCAAATTTTGAACCAACGTGCAGATAAGAAAATCTGGTTATGGTGAATTATTTACTATATTGATATACATCATCGGATACGGTCAGGCCGCACTAGTCAAATTGTACTTACTTTCTAATTATTCTTAATGAAATTTTATTTGAATTACTTTATTGCTATACATTGTCATATATGATCAGATCACGCTAGTCAATTTTTATTCTTTCTTTCCAATTATTATGAACGAAGTTATTATTTTATTTTATTACTAGTCATAGACATCTAAAATTGAAAATGTGTGTATAACCCTTGAATCCAAAAATAAAAAGAAATGTTGATGCGAATCGTAGAGGAAATTGTATGAAATTAATAAACATTTGAGGAATAAAAAAATTAATAAAAAAGATACCCATGTACAAATATTATACCATAGATGTAAACTGGCCAACGGCTACTATAACAAGGCAGTTGAATTGTATCGTGTGGGTTCAACAAGAGGTCAAGCCCGATGCTTTGAAATAGTCAATGGCGAACCATTTTTTTATTGCTTTTCATCCGGGTGAAGAGCCATGTTGATAAGAAGTCAACACATGGATTATTTTCATGTAGAAGCATGTTTTATTTTTTATAAATTTTAACGAAAAATTATATTTTTACATTAAAAAGTTAATCTTGTTATACTATTCACTTTACAATTTATTTTGTCATTTTCGTTAAAACTCAAAATTTTCAAGCCATTTTCATTAGTTTTTCTTTATTTTTTTTCTTGAATAAATGAAAGACGATGGAAAGAAAATCATTTCATGTAGCAACGTCATAAATAAAATTGTTTCAATTTTTTGCATCATTATGTAAAGATAATTTTAGAAAAAAGAAAACTAATAAAAAGAGTTTTAAAAATTTAAGTTTTAACGAAAAACCATGTAATAATTTTATTTAATGGTTAGGATAAAGCCCAATACTAAATTAGTCTAATTAAAATGGCCCAAATATTGAGTTTACGATTTTATCCCTAACGACAAGCTTTTGTCCGTTAATCTCTCTCAAATTCTCTCTCCCATTTTTTCATGACATTCAAAACCTTCCATTTTTCTTTCTAATCTCGCATAACAACTCCATTTCTATCATTATGTAAAAACCACAGCTTCGACCCCAAACCTAATTTTGAGCCGTCTCCATCTCTATGAAAATTGGATACGATCTCTTACAAGCAAAACTATATGATTTTGTCCATCTCTCTCTCCATCCCTCCTAAAATTTCTCACACACTCTCTCTCTTCTATGTAAAGATGAGCAAGGGATATGCACTTTCACCGACATCGGCAAAAAGCCAAAGGTGAATTTCTGCCCTTCCCTTCTCATTCATCTGATTATTAACCTTTCAATTTGATGAAGAAGAAAGGAAGAATTTGAGCTACTGTTTTTCAATTTTTCATAGTGAGCCGACATTCACCTCTCCTAGACCCTGCATAAAGCAGGAGCCTTGTGCACTGGGTACGACGACACACCCCGATCGAGATCAAGGCATGCTAGCCGTCACGTGAGAGTGACGTAGCCATGTGCACAGTGCGGAAGCAATAGAGATAAGAAATATACAAATAATTAAAAACCAAATTACTAGAGTGCACTACTAAACAAGAAGTGATAGAAGTTAGTTACAACAGTAAACACTTCTAATCAAAGCATAATAAGTCTAGGTGCAGTCCAATAGGACAAGTACTAGTTATATAGTACCAGAAATGTCCTACTATTATTTAGATAGGTCAGAACTACCGACGTCCTCAAGCCACCAACAGCAAGCTTACTTAAAACTTGGAGGGGTGCAAAACAGAAAACGTGAGTGGGCAAAAACAAATGTTTTACAAAACCATTTCATTTATCAACATAACTAACCCCTCGCTGTAAAACATATATAATTTTTCCTAGAATTAGAATATAAGCACATACATAAATATATATATATATATATATATATATGTAAATATATCAATTCAAAACATGCTTCACATAATCATACTCATATGTATACCATACCAAGATATAACAGAGTATGTAATTCAGGTGAGAATAACTTCATAGAAATATAACATATTAGCCAAAACCCTTGTGGTAGTCTGTACGGCTGAATTCATAGCTCAAAAGTCAATCTAGCCGGAGTCACTACAATGACCTATACGGCACTATACTGCACAAGAGTCGAAACCAAATGAAAATGTCTATATGACAATACTGGGTGTAATAGAATTATACTCAATACTACTCTCACATAATAGTTGGGCGATAAATCGCTAATCACCTACGAGTCGGAACCATAGTAAAGGTATGTACGACAAAACTGTGAACCTAAATTGGATCCAATATGAGCATATGGTGCGGGAGGTGACATTATAAACAGGCATGTGCCATATCTCTGGCTAAATCACAAGCACCCTAGGTGCAGTTTTATGAGCTCAACGTTATTCAATCACATCTCACATCATCGATAATTCACATAACCAAACATAACTCACATCAACTTACCTGAGCGTCCACAGCACCACAATTTTATATAATGCATCATATACCAATTCGTATATGAATTATAAACTTATATGCATGGCATTCAAGGCATAATCTTATTTAAACATATTTTATGGGAAATATCAAGTATATAAATATATATTGAAAACCAAAAGCCCACTCACTGGTAAGTCGAAGGGTCGTAGCCCCCGAGTCGCCCTTGGATACGCTCGTCCTCGGGATAAGTCTCACCTATATGCGAATTAACTATAAAAACATTATTTTAAAGCACATAGACAAAACTAGCTAATAACTTCTCAAATATAGCTCAAATTGGATATATGAATATACCACAATGACCTACACAACCTCAGGATCATTCCCAAATTTTTAGATTAATTTTTGGACCCCTCACGCGCGGCCACACGCCGGTGAGTGCACTGCAAGACACGCGGCCATGAGCAGGGAATCCTGACGGATTCTCTAATTGCCGTTAGGAATATTCCGTTAAAACTCAACTGTCACCGTTAATCCTAACTGATGGCATCAGAATATTCCGTCAGGATTGACGAAATATTCCGTCGTCTTTTTCATAAATCCCCCGCGACCGTCGCCGTCGCCGAAAACTGGGGATTTCGAAAAACTTTGTTTTCTCACTAATTTCTTCACAATTTTCTGAGAAATTTGCACCAATGGAAAGCTAGAGATGAGTATAACAACGTTATACCTGTTTGAAGCTTCAAATATCACGAAATCACGTTGGAGAAGCTTCGAAATTCTGACCAAACCTGCAACTCATCGTTTCTCGTGATCCCGACGTCCAAATTCTTCAAACAAACTACTCTGAGCCTCCTTGGGACCTCCTAAAACTTCCTACAAGCTTGAAATCCCCTAAAAATTGAAGAATAAAAGTTGCATGAACAATGCATGGAATCGGGCTTTGTGGTTCTACATGAAATTAAAGGTAATCTTACCTATATTTGGTACCTTTGAACTCACGAGGACCTTAAGAACACAATGGTACCATTTTCTTCCTCGATCTATCACGTTACAGTGGGTTTTGGGTGTCGTCCGTACAAGAGAGAAGAGAGAGAGAGTCTACGAGAGAGAGCACGGAGAGGAAGAGAGAAGGAGTAAGTGTGGTATGTGTGTGGTCCACGTGGGTCACCAAGCCAAAACCACACAATAACCTCTAAGTCTCAATATGTCACATATACACACTACAATTTCCCCGTCCAAGGATAAAACTGTCATTTTACATCACCGATAAATGAATTTCGGGACGGGGTGTGACAATTATAACATCTCACATCGCCCATGGGAGTGATCCTTAAATATATATTCTCATCCCTACCTAGCACGAGGCCTTTTGGGAGTTCACTGGCTTCGGGTTCCGTAGGAACTCCGAAGTTAAGCGAGAAGGGGGCGAGAGCACTTCCAGGATGGGTGCCCCACTGAGAAGTTGCTTGTGAGTTCCTAAAAACAAAACCGTGAAGGAATGGTAAGCCCAAGCAGACAATATCATACTACGGTGGTAGAACGGGCCCCCGGATGTGGTGGACCCGTGCCGGGATGTGACAAATGGTATCAGAGCCAATCCCTGGCCGGAAGTGTGCTGACGAAGACGTCGGGCCCCTAAGGGGGATGGATTGTAACATCCCACATCGCCCAGGGGAGTGATCCTTAAATGTATATTCTTATCCCTACCTAACATGAGACATTTTGGGAGGTCACTGGCTTTAGGTTCCGTAGGAACTTCGAAGTTAAGCGAGAAGAAGACCAGAGTACTCCTAGGTGGGTGACCCACTGGGAAGTTGCTCGTGAGTTCCCAAAAATAAAACCGTGAGGGAATGGTAAGCCCAAAGCGGATAATATCGTGCTATGATGGTGGAACGGGCCCCCGGATGTGGTGGACCCGGGCAGGGATGTGACACATAGTGTATTCGAGGTACTGTTTTTCAATTTTTCTTCTTCACTGAAGTTCATCGTTTGTTTTTCAAGAAAATAAATTTGAGATTTGTTAGCTTTTTGTTCAGTTATTTTTCCAGATACAATGTTTTTTTTTTCCAGATACAGTTTTGCCAACATTTTTTTCCAGAAATAGT